AAGGTTGGACGATACCATGTATATATATTTATTTTCATGTTCATTTCGTTGTGTTCTAAACAGCACATTTAATAAAGAAAACATGATAATAGTTTTTATTTAAAATAATACAAGTTGTTAACAACTTTGGATCGAGTTGCACAAAATTTAACAATTTGTTTTGATTCACAAAAACAATTTATGTCATTTTAAAAAATACATAATATTTATAATTAGTTATGTGTATTAACTTTATCCAAACACAGTTAAATGGTCGTTGAAAATTTGTTTTTAATGTTACACTATGAATTATCAATTATTATTTAAAACAAATTGTTAAATATGAAAATTATTAACATTTTCTTTATTATTTAAAAGTCAAAAAGTGTTAGATTTGGGTAATTTATTTGAATATGTATTTATAGTACATGTCAAATAACAATCTACTTGCTTTTATGAGTATTACATCGTTTTGTAGAATATTTAATTAAAACACTTCAAAAATCCCAAATATTATAACATAAAAAAGAAGTAATGTCTGTTGATGAAAACACATCATTTCAAACAATTAAATGTTCATATTTATGTTTTAAAATTTTTTCAAAATAAAGATGGTTTTGATAAATGACAATTATACAGAAAAAACATCTTTTAAAAACACAATAATAAAATGGTATAACATATTGTTTTCTGTCTTTTTGTTTTCTGTGTTTTTTATCCCTGAATAAATAATCATTTATTACTATAATTTACTTGAGTATTTTTTGTTTGACATAAACAACAAACTATTACCATTAATTTAATTTACTATGTTTTAAAACTATTAAAAAAACATGGAGATTTGTTATGGCTTTTCAAAACTACATAAAACTATACTTTCTATTCCTCATTATTTAAATGGTTTTCTTTTTTACCATCATTTTAGAATGTGTATAGTTTGGACGATTTTGTGGCTAGCCATTTTTTTATCACTACTGGCTGACAAATCCTAATTAATTTATTCAACGAATTAAAAATAATAGTTCCAAACACAAATTCTGGCTGAAAATATTTAAAAATTAACACGGGCTAGCCACCAGTTGAATCCGGTTTGCAGCCCTGGTATTTAGTTGAATATTTTAGAAAATTGTTAATTTAAAAATAAACCAAAATTATAATACAGTCGAAGGTTGAATTCCGCCAAACAACCATAAGTGTTGAACTACACAGCCAGTTGGTTGAATTTTTCAAAAATGATGAGTGGTGACGCCCACATTTTATTAACGCACATTTCCATTTGTTTCCACCTTTGTTTCATTTCGAAATACTCTTGATAGTTTCCCCGCATACTTTCAAACTCAATTTTGCTCACAGGCAAAGTGTTATCGTTATCAAAACAAAAACATTTCTCCACGTCTCTCCACGTCAGTTTTGGACTTTTTTCAAAATTGAAAATGTTGAAAGTATTATCGGCCAAATTATTATCGCTCCTTTGAGTTTTGTCATCTTTGTAATCGTTGTAGATATTTAGTTTTTCTTTAAATCTTTCAAGTTCCATATAATCAAGTTGGTCTTTTAAAGACACGGAAAAGGGAGTTAAATCAACAGAATATGTTTTTCCTTGTTTTTCGTGTTGAAGATTTTTACTGTCTTTTGATGGTAGTTTGTCTGCAATTCGCTCTTTCAGACTTTTTGGCGGTTTTGTGACTTTTTCGGTCTTTTCCGACTTTTTATTTTGCGTTTTTGTAATTTTCACTGCATCAAATTGTTGAAGAAAGGTGTCAAGTAATTTGTTGCGCTCAATTTCCTCCTCTTTATCGCTTTGCGTCGTTTTGTTGTTTGTTTTAATATCGTTTTGTGGTAAAATTGGAAGTGTTTCGTTATCACTTTTTTCATCTTCATCAGTGAAAAAATCTGAATATGTTTGAGTAAAGTTAGGAGCGGTTTTATCATTTTTTAAAAGTTCTTGTTGAATTGCCAAAAGTCTGTCGAACAGGCACGAACTTTCTTGTTCGGAATTTACTTGGAAAATGTCGTTATTGTTATCCAAATTATTATTTTCGGCTAAATCGTCTTGTGGTTTTTTTATGAGTATTTCTTCGTTTTTGTGTGAAAGTTTAGTTTCAAGTTGTTTCGGTTTATCTTCAATATCGTCGACAGTTTCAACTGAAAATTCTTTTTGGAGTTGTTCATTAAAATTACTTTGTTCGTCCAAAAAATTGAACATCCGATATATTAAAAAGAAAATCGTTTTGTTTTGTGATTCGTCAAGACTTGAAATCTGATAAACAAATTCCCGCCACACTTCGCTGTCTATAAGTTTCATTACTTTTTACAGTTTCTTTTTATTTAAATACAAAAAAAAGTTGAATAAAAATAACTTATAAGAATTCATTATCATTTCTAAACTATAACAATAGTTAATATTACCTTATTTTTATTCTATTCAAAAAATGTTTCCTTTGAAAAAAACACTTAATTACAAAACCCTACTTAGAGACTGTTTTACTTAAAATGGCTGAAAAACCACCAGGACGCACCATTGAAGAGTTTTTTGCGGACATCGATACGAACAAAACAGGCAAAGTGAATGCCGACGAATACTTTGAAGGTGTAAAAATGTGGCGTCGAGACATAGTTGAGAGTGACAAAGCCAGTCAGACCCTTTTATTCAACTTGGCAGATTTGGATGATGACGGTGAAATTGATATTCGCCAGTTTGCGCGTTTAATGGCGATCTTAAACAAAGGGTTTGGGAAAGATGCGAAAAGTGTATTTACAACAGTCTTCCTTCTTCTCGACATTCATGACAAAGGCAAAATAGGTGAAAAGGAGTTAGCTCGTTTAATGAAGAAGATGGGCAAAGACTTAAAAAATGAAGAAATTGAGTCTTTTCTTGATTCAGTAGATGGGGACTTAGACGGGTATATTACTCTTCAAGAGTTCCTTAAATTCTTCCTCCCTCCACAAGACAAAAACACTGTGCCAAGTAATAAAAAAGCCGAATAATTTACTATTTTTTACTATTACTTCTAGTTCAGGGTTTTTTTTACTATTCGTCTAGTTTTAGTTATTATAAATAATCTATAAATTGCAAAGAATAAGAACTTACTCATATGCGTCTTGTTCTTCCTCTTCTTTAGGCGGCTCTACAGGTTTGTTCACTCCAAGAGACTTCAAGAACGCAACAGACTTCGCTCGTACCTCTTCCAGTCGTTTGTATATTTCCATGAACCCTGGTCTTTTATTTGGAGTGATGTTCCATGTATCTAACATGATTTTATAGACTAAATCTCCTATTGGATCTTCTTCTTCTTCTTTTTCAGCTTCATCATCTTCGACTCCATAGTCATTTTCTTCTTGAACAACAGGCTTTGGTGCATATCCCCCAGCTTCTTTTTCTCTTTTGAACGGGTTTTTCAAAAAATCCGGCTTTGCTAGTCGAACCCCAGACTGAACCGCATCAAGAACGGCGGGAGCACCTACAAGATTGGAATATGGTAGATTTCCACCACTAAATAATTCCCAAATGGTCACGCCATACGCCCATATATCATTGAAGACATCAAACTTCTTCGATGCTAAAGCCTCCGGCGCAGTCCATTTGAATGGGATCTTGGCATCATCCTTGGCTTGGTACTCCCCACTCTCAGACACTCTTGACAACCCAAAGTCGGAGATTCTTCCTCTCAACCCACTTGCGTCTTCATACCACAACACATTTCTCAGAGCCAAGTCTCTATGAATAATACTTAATGATCCCAAATATGCCATCCCAGCTGCTATATCCTCAGCTACTTGCAGTAAATCCATAAATGGCTTTTTAACCTTTTTTACTAGTTTAAGCACATCGCCCTTTGCCAAAGCAAGAATCATATACAATTTATCTTCTCCAGTAGCTTCAAAGTGATGTTTGTATATCCCATACATAGTCGACAAATTTGGATGTTTCAACTTGGAACTCACAAAGGCCTCCTTAGCTATATCAACGAGTTGAGCATTTTGCTCCTCTTTTGAAATCACCTTCTTCGGCTTCGTTGGGTCTTTTTCTACCTTTTTGGCACTCCCATCTGGTGGTGGTATTCCAAACGGATCCGCATCCTCCGGATCTCCAGATATCCCTTTCATGGCTACTTCAGTGGTCCCTAGCCAAAGTGCTTTGTAGACTAACCCAAAGGCACCTTGGCCTAACGCAGAGATCGGCACAACATCTGTTAAGTATCCAAATCGTTCGAAGAGGGACATATCAAACTTGACATCTTCATTATAGACTTCGAGTCGCGCTCGAGAGATCTTCTTTGCAGTCACCACGTCGATTTTCATATCAGTGAATTCCTCTTGTTTTGCGACAGAAAATGAGTCGTCGCTGTTATACCCATTTTCAAGTAATAACTGTTTTAAAGCATCATTGTCATCAAGACCAGCCAATTTTAACGTCTCTAAGACTTTCTCATCAAATTCGGGTTTGTCCTCAAACGACACCAAAACAAATTCAGTGGTCCCAATGATGACTTTCGTGTTATTTTTCCGAAGAACAGCCAAATTCATTTCTTTATCAAAAGAGAGAAATTGTAATCCCTCTGTAGCTCCTAAGACAAATATTTCTTTTCCTTTCGAACAGATTGACCCGCCTTTATTAGTGATTTTAATCTCTTCTGGATTTTCTATTAATTGTTTGGAGACGACATCTAATAATAAAATCTTGTCATTTGAGAGGCCAAACCCTTCTCCGCCACCTAATATAACTCCAAGCTTTTGGTCCGGCATGTATACACAATTCGGACTTAACAATTTAATTGGAAGTTGGGCGACTGTGACCCATTCACTCTTTTTATTACTGAAGGCATCGTACATGAAAATGTCCTTGTTATGCTCATCTCCTATTTTCCCACCAATGACAAAGATCTTCCCATCAGTAGTTACAAAAGAGCCATGTTTAAATATCACTCCAAATGGTAATTCACTGGTCGACACTACCTTCTCAGTCTTCATATCAATTATAACAAAGGAATTACTCTTCGTCTGATTTCCGGTGCGAAATCCGATGATATAAAGTTTGTCGTTGTATAACACTACACTGTTCTCAACTCCAAAATCACTGATCCCTTCTATTTTGATGAAAAAGACTTCTTTGGTCTCCATATTCACTTTAATGATCTTCGTTAAGTTCTTTTTCGAAGAAACACCACCAACAAAGTAAATAAAAGTCCCATCAGTGACACCCGCAGACTTGGAAAACGCAAACGTCTCTTCGTCATACTCATCAGACTTCGAATTGAACTTATCCATAGTCCACCGTGCATTTGGAATACTGAATGAGTAAACGTTTTTGTTGTATTCTGTGGCACCTTGTGTTAATGGAATTTCTCCTCCAAAGACATAGAGAAGACCATTCACCATAAACATGTTAAATTCTCGTAGACCTGTAACAGGCAAAGTTTTGGCTTCACCAATTAACACTTTCTTTTGAATGTGCTCACCCATTTCAACTTTAATCATTATCAGTTTGAGGTTTTATAGTTTTGTATAACACAGCTTTTTTCATATTAAAACTGTTCTCTTGAAAGTCATTTAATTATATTTATAGTTTTGTTTACTAGTATGGTGTAGTTAAATACACTTTCAAAGAGTTTTGAGAATTATTACTCTTTCAATACCAAAAATGATTGTGTATTAATTATTAATAACACTCGACTCGGTTTTTCATATAAATTTATATTTTTTTATTATTAATTATTTTTGAAGCCTTTGAATAAAAAAAAGGTGTAATAATTATTGTTTTATTATTAGTGATAGTATGCTCTAATAATCGGGATTAAAAAATAATTGAATTATAATTATTATTTAATATTAATAATACTATAATAATTAAATCTATAATAATTTGATTATTATTGTTTATAAATTTAATAAAAAAAAATAAAACAATATGACGAAGAATTAATAATTATAATAAAAATGCTATTATATATAGTTTAAACAACCATCAGACCCTCATACAACGAAGTCTCTTGTATATTACAAGACTTGAGAAATGTTGATATGTATTGTGTTGTGAGAGTTGTGTTATAGCGCTCCATTCCTCTTAATGTTTCGATGATCTCATGTTGTTGTGAGATATCTGAGAAATGGAAAAGAAGTGCCAAAAGCACTAAAAGAGCTGACCAATCGAGTGGAGGAACGAAAATGACTTTTCTATTCACAAGTGAGAGAACTTCCTTTAAGATTGAAAAGATGAGAAGTGTGTGATTTTCTGAGTGGAACGACACAGCCTTTAAAAGGCCAGAAAAATGGCGAGTGCAAAAAACAGACGAAGCACAAAGGAAAGGAACAACAAACCCAAGACACGTCTCAACCTGGTCGTTCAACGCATAATATACATCACTCACAAACTGTTTCATGCAGAGGTCGTATAATTTAATGTTGACTTTCGGTTGCGTTAAAAGATAATTAACCCAGTCAAGTGTGACACTTAACGACTCACTCTGGGTTGTTTTATCAAGGCTCGACGTATAAGGCAGTATTGTTGTTGTAAAATCGTACCCAAAGCCCTGAAAAATACTAACATCAATTTCTTTTTGGTAAATTTTTGAAATGACGGTCTGTCTCTTCCCCAAATCGTCGCTTTTAAGCTCACTCAAAATCTCAATCACTTGTTTCGTCATTTGCTTTTCAAGTTTATTTTCTAACATGTATAATTTGTATTTCAATTATACTATTATAATAATAATTATTATCATTAATTTATTAAAACATTATAATTGTAAAAGTAAATTATTATTTCATATATTTTAGACGAAAAATAATAACAATTTTAATAACAATTTATTTTTTTGTTGTTTGTTTTGTGGGTTTCTAAAAATAGCATTTTTTATTAATAATTTATAATATCCAATTTAGTTCTACTTTTTCGCATTTTAAACTGTTAATATGTTTTTTTATTTCCAAAAAAAACGAAAATAATATATACTTTTAAAAACTATATTTATAGTTAATTCGATTCTAATTGAAAGATAATTTGTTGTTACATATTTTTTTGAAAAAAAAAACATCCAGTTACAAGAACACAAATTATTAGTTTTGATTCAATTAAATTATAGTTTACAGTTTGTTTCGAATTCTTTTCCAATAAATATCAATTCGGTTTTTTTGTTGTTTTTGGAAATAAAACACATCACAGGAAAATACGCATTAAAAACGTACAAACATATCTGTGAACATTCAAATGTTGTTTATACTTCTAACGACCATTTCAAGTGCATACCTGACTCCATTGTCCGATTGTCAAGCAGCAAGAATTACTTATTATGATAGTTATAGCTCAGAAAATGTACGTTGTCAGTTGGGGACTGCTAATATGGACACACTCTTTCGTTGCGCACCCAATACAGCTTTTCTCAACAAGGCTTCTCAGTGTGGTATATGTTATGAAGCTGTTGGTGAGTTAGGTTCTGTACGATTTATGGTGACTGATGAGTGTCCTGCCAGTTCTAACAGTGAACATTGCTCGGGTGATTACACACACTTTGATATGGCTGCAAATGCTTTCCCGAGTCTATGTAAATCATCATTAGGAATATGTAACATAACATATAGAATGGTTGCTTGTGACCACACGGGGAATATCCAAGCGAAACTCAAAGATGGTTCAGGCAATGGGTACATTGGTGCAATTTTTCGAAACCACGTTGTTGGAATAAAGAAAGTGCAAATTTCGTTGGGTGGAAATACACACGATTTGACACGAGACGAGTCGAACCAATGGGAGTACAATGGAATCTTGTCGTTGCCAATCACTTACTTGATAACGTCAATCGATGACGACACAGTCAATTTGGTTATCAATGATTACTCCACAACAACACTCCACGAAGCAGAAAGGAACTTCAAAATCCCACAAGACACATTCTTCGACATCTCGACACTTCAAAAAACTACAAAGACAAGCTCACAAGAATGTTGTCAAATGCCTGAGTACAACACGGTCTATACTGATCGTTTTGAGACTCCATTTTTGTTCTTAACTGGAGGAACTAAAAATGAGTGTGACTCAAATAAATATGAGGGAAGCTGTGCGGTTTCTGTTAAGATAGCACAATGGGGATACTTCAAAATTACAACGGGAGACCACCAATTGTACGCCAAGTCGATCAAAGCAGTCACATTCTATGCAAAGGCAACAAAAGCATCAAATTTGGATTTGTGGGCTGAGACCGTTTCGGGGTTCAAAAAAACAATTTCAATGACAACTAATTTCCAGATGTACACAATTAACTTGAGTGAAATGGGTGTGAAAGAAAGCGACCAATATTGGTACGGCATTCAGTTCCAAAACACTGACCCAAGTGAAGTCACGTACTACTTGGACGCAATAATATTGGTCTACGACGACGAGGTGTGTACAGAAAAGTGTTCTGATCACACATCAACTTGCAAAACAATTGTTGAGAGTAGTGACGATACATCTTCAGCTCAAAAGAGTTCACAACCCGACGAGAGCAGTAGTAGTGAAGGTAAAGAAAGTAATGCCATGAGTAGCGACAACACACAATCAAGTGAAGAGAGTAGCAACAATAGCGGTGAAAGCAGTGGCAAACCAAGTGGTGAGAGTAGTGAAAGTAAAGAAAGTAGTGATAAACCGGGCGTCATAAGTAGTGACAACACGCCATCTGGTGGAGAGAGTGGAAATAATGAAGAAAGTAAAGTCCCGGGGCAAGACGGAAGTATTTCTATTTTCTGTTTAACTGCTGCCTTTATCTGTGTTGTCGTTCTGGTTTAATTAAGTCTTTTCAATCTTTTGTTATTTTACTATATTTTAATGATTAAGATATAGTATATTTATAAAATTTAAATAATTGTATTTTTATATTTTTTTGTCTCAGATAAATATATTAAATGTTAATAATAAAAGCAAAAGTATAGTATATTAATAAAAACAATACATATTTATAATATAATATAATAATATAATAAGAATGATAAGAAGAGATTATAAAAGCCGAAAAGAAACAACAAAAAAAGAGAAATGAAGAGATGAATAAAACTCACTTTGCCTTGTTTTGGATGTCAGCAAGGAGTGCAGAACGCTTTCCTTCTTCGACCTTGACATCAGCAGCAATGACAGGGGCTGATCTGTCGTTGGTTTCTGTTTGTTTGAGTTCAGCACCCTTTTCGATGCCTTGAAGGAGTTGTCCTCTGTCATTCTTCTTGAGTTCAACATTCTTGTCGATGACTGGAGCTGACTTGTCAACAGTGGTTGTGTCTTTTAATTTGACATCCTTGAGTCCAGCGAGTTTTGATGCGTCCATTGCGGCTTTCGAGTTTTTAAAGTGCTTTTTATTTTAGAGGTTTTGTCGGTCTTTTTCAAGATGGACGTAATCTCGTATTTATAACTCTCATTGAAATAAATAAAACCATGTTTGTGTGGTGTATTTCTTTTTCTTGTTAATAAAAACCTAATGAAAAGGAGCTTAATTGTTGTATGGTTGATTTGGACAAAAATCTTGAAATCGTTATTAAAATTATTGAAATGATTTAAAAAATTTGAAAAAATTTTAAAAATTAATTTCTTTTAATTTTGTAGTAAATGTTAAAAAGGTATAGTATATTTTATTATAATATTTGTTGAGACACCAAGATTTTATATAATTTTTTAAATTAAATTGTTTTACTAAAATAAAACATGAATAAATAATTTAAAATTTATTATTAATTAAAATTAAATAATTTAATGTATTAAAATTTGTTATAAATTGGTTTTTATTGGAATTGTTGTTTAATAGTTGTTTCAAACAACTTGTTTGGCCAGAGTACCCAAAAATAAAAATAGATGGCAAGGGTTTTAAACTTTTTGAAAGAAACAAAAATTGAAACAATTATGAGCACTTTTCTTCTTTAACATATAAAAATTCCAAAATTTGTTTTTTTAACCTAAAATTTGTTTTTAGATATATTTTTTTATTTAAAAGAATCTGGTAATAAATATGAAAAGGCCATACAAAATTGATTGGGGTAAAGAAAGAAATATGGAGGTTTTAGTTGATAGAAAATATTTCTGTAGAGTTTGCGTCATTATTATCAATAAAACAATTGCCTCAGATCATTACCTAACACACGAAGAAAATAATGATGAAGTAACCAAATGCAAAGTTGCTCAATATTTTTTCAATGGTTTAAAATATGCTTCAAAAAAGAAAATATGGAATTTATTCAATACGAAACTGTTGAGACAGAATCTGCTGTAAATAGAGATAAAAAACTAATCGAAAGTGGAAGAGAATTGACAACAGAAATTTCATTGTTATTTGCAGAAAATAATATAGTATGTAAAGCTGAAGTTCTTGAAAAACTTTTGGTGATGATTAAAAGATACATAAAAATGGAAGGAATAGGAATTCTAGACAAAATAAGATCAAGCCATCAAACCATTACATCAAGAATTAATATAGAAGCTACCAAAATCGAAAAGAACATACAAGAAACATGTGAAAAAGCACAACATGCTGCTATAATGACCGATGAATGTACAGTACACCACAAACATTGGTATAATTATTACACCAGAATTGTTATGCCTGATTTAAAAGTACTCACTCGTTTGGTTGAAGTGAAAACGTATTCTGGCAAGGCTACTGGTGAGAACACGAAAGAAAACTTAATCGAAGGTTTAAAATGTGTTAAATGTGACAAAAATAAAGTATCTGCAATAGTAACTGATGGGGCAGGAAACATGCAAGGGGTGGAAAATGGTGTGGGTCCTCTTGTTGTTCGAGAATTTAGTGTTATACCCAAACGACAATTTGAAATTATGTCAGTTTGGTGTTTCTGTCACCGTTTAGATCTATGCGCAGAAGAATATTTAAGTGTTGATGGAGCCAATGAATGTGTTGAAATCATATCTGAAATATGTTATTTTTTGAGAGTTGAAAAGTCTTTTTATTTAAAATACTCTATGTTGTTTCCAACTTATTGTCCAACTCGTTGGTTATCACTTGAATCCATATTTGATTGGTGTCATAAACATTATGATAATGTGGTCGAGTTTTTGGAAGGTTTTGAGGACAAAGATAAAGAATGTGGTGAATATACAGTTAATCAATTGTGTTTGTTGTTCAGTGGAAGTGTAATAAAAAACCACATTTTATTTATTTTGGATACAATTGGAAAACTCCAAATGTTAAACAAAGAACTTCAAAGAAAGGATGCATGCATATTCAGAGCGTATGAAAAAATTCAATTATATAAAACGAAAATAAGTAATATGAAAATAGATATAATTAATAAACAATTTGTGTTGTTTCCTAACTTAAAAGAAATTATAGATTTTTTCGATATTGAATGGATGATAGATCTCATTCAGGTACTCGAAACAACACTTGATGTTCGTTTTTACAGTGTTTGCACATCTCCAAAATTCAAAGGAACTTGTTCAAAATACATTAAAAATGTCAAATAAATCCTCTCAAACAAAAAGAAAGAGAATCGCACTGCAATTTGTTGGACGAAATGTGTCATTTTGCAATTCATTTTGATAAAATAATCAACGGTGATTATCAGCCAACGAAAAATATGATAATCTATATGGAAGAAGTAAATGAAATAAAGAATATGGATAATTATGTACACTTGAGAAATGGTATTATTTTACAAAAAAGAGAACATCTTCATAAATTCAAAGAAACGTGGGTCGTTGATAAAATTGATCTTCTTGATTATTAACCCCTTTTAAGGAAAAATTCAAATTTGAACAACCTTCTTCGTTATTTGATGAGCATACCACCTTCAACTGCAACATGTGAATATGGTTTTTCTATATTAAAACGTGTTTGTGAACCCAACTCAAAAGAAAAAAACGACCAAAAACAGATTACTTATCAAAGATTGTGCTATTAACAAAGAACTACATCAAACAAAATATTAATTATTATATCAATGATTGTAACTTTAATTAATAAATGTTTTAATTATTTTTGTATAATTATTTTTTGTTACCATAATTATTTTTTTGCCATATTATTCGAAAATAACATAATTTGAAAAAATACGAAAAAAATATTTTTTAACACGTCTGCAAAACGTGGTGGCAAGGTTTTGATTTTTTAAGAACTCTGTTTGGCTACTTTCGAGTCTCTTGTTAGTAATTTTAAAAGTGGCTGACTTAAAATATAATATTTTTTTAATATAAAAAAATTATAGTAAAAATATTATTCAAATCACTAATTTTTATGTTAAAAGAATTTTTAAAATAAACTATATATATTTAAAATAATTATTAAAGAATGAAATAAAAAATCATTCAAATTATTTATTGATGGATATCTTTTAAACACAAACACGACACGTTGATGTTTTTATTTTTTAGTATTTCATAATTAATATTTACTACATTATTATCACACTTAAAACTAGAAATGGTAGTTGTTTTTATTATTTTTTATAGTACTTTATTATTGCACAAAAAATAAAAATTATATTTTTAATTTACATTTAGTTCGATGAAAAAATATTCGAATTACACAAAAAATCAAAAAACGTATTAATTTGCTAATTTGCTATTTTTCTTGGTTTTTTTCTTTATTGTAATGTTTGAACCAAAGGGACTTATCAACCAATTTGGATGTAATAGTTTTAAATCTTCCTTTGTATTTGACATACTTTCAATCCTTTATTTCTCATTTTTGTATTGAGTATCATCACTTTTACAATTCTCAAAAATCTGTAAAAATTCCACAACATTTTTAAATATTGTTTTTCTACTCAAAAGATTAGCAACATTACACAACTTCTTTTTAATATCACCTCTGGTTATTTCTCTTTCTTCTGTGATAATTCTAACTTCATGAGTTGGTTCAGTAGTGTTTTCTATAAATAAATTGGCTCTAAAATCTGCCTTTAAAAGTATAGGAGTGTTATTCTGGCATTTTACAATTGGATGTATGACTGAATTGATACCCAATTGGACATCTCTTGTCTTGAAAATTGTCTTCTTTAAAATATTTATTATACAACATGTGGTGACAAGGAACTCCACTACTCGTGTATAAGTTGCAAGTATAATTATTACTTTTTCTATTGTGCAGTCTTCCATGCATGTAACAGTTTTATAATTATTGAGGAGAGACTTAATTGTGTTAGGTATCAGAGTTTTTAACAATTTATTAGGGATGACTAGTAAGCTTATTTGCATTTCTTTTTATGTGAAAGCTCAGCATTGCAATGCAACTGTTTTGTGTAAAGAACAAAGGCTTGTGCATCTACCCAATGAAGGAATTGTTTGTTGAACGGATAAAGTTGCATGAGAAAAAAATGCTTCAACTAAATTTGGCATATAATCTTTGGTCAACTTGTAATGGCAGAAAAGTATTTTTAATGTCAAATAGCGTTCTCAACATTCTATATTTAGTTGAAGGCTTGTAGAATTCAACTTGAGTATATTTATCGGTCATATAAACCATTGATAAATAGTCTGCAAAGTCTTTCTGAGTAAACATGTTATCTACTTGTTGATCAAATGATATTTGGATTTAAGACGTTGCATCAAAAGAGTAACTTGTTCACAAACAATGCTTCAGCTTTTTAAATGTCTGAATTTCCCCGAAACATATCATAAAAATACTAATTATTTCTTTTTTTTATTAAAATGGTTTATTATATTTCTTCCAATATGTAAATAACAATGAGTTATTTTTATAGTTGAACCAAACACCTTTAATAACGACGAACTTTGTGTCTCTAACATGTCTCCTAAAAAGCCAAAAAATGCTTTTTCCTTTTATTCAATTCACTTTTAGTTCATCGAGGAAAATCACAAAAAAATTATCAATGAATCATATATAAATTCCAAACACACCATTTTTATTGTTATTTTTAAAAACAATCATAAACAACAGTTTGTTAAATTTGTTGGTGCAGTGGGTATCATCAACCACAAGACAGTTTTATGGTAGTCTTGTATAGAAGTCAAACTCAGACAAAAGCAACTCAAAAAACGACCTTCTATATCAGTGAATATAAAGTATTGAAATCTTCAAGTGAATCAAAGTAACTTTCTAAAATTTTCTGCGTGTTTCTTATTGTTATACCGATTTGATTGACATCTTATCTTATATAACTTTTGTGCATCTATTACAATGTTATTGTTGAGTCTTGACAACGAACTTGAAATTCCATCATTGGCATCTTTAATTAACAACAATTTTGTTTCATTAGAAATGGTGTTGTGTACTTCTTTAAGAATTGTTGATTCATTGTGATTAAAATGCCAAGGATCAAAGACTATACCACTAACTTTTGAATCTTTGGCAATATAAATACAATTTCTGAAGAACAACCTTTGTGTTTACAAAAAGGTTTGTTTTGGACTGTTGGTTCTGGTGTGCGTTGCTTTGTATATTTTTATTTGTTTTTTGTGGAGAGTATAAAAGGCAAACTACTTTAATTTTGCATTCAGAGTTGCAGTTAAACAAGTTCCCAACAAATCAAACGATCCATTTCTAATTTTATCGTTAATTGAAGAAAAAAACTATTGTTTTTTGTTGACTAATTCTTATCCACATAACAGAATAACCAATATTATCTATTACTTCTATGACAAACTTTGGCTTTAATTATTCTTTTGATAAAATTTAAAGTTCGTTTTGTGTTGTAACACATAGTGATGTAAATGCCACTCTTTAAGAATGACTTCATAAAGAAAAAATGACATTTTAAATAACAAGTTAAGTTTAAAAAAAATAATACAAAAAGTTTGTGTAATTCGAATATTTTTTCATCGAACTAAATGTAAATTAAAAATATAATTTTTAGTTTTTTGTACAATAATAAAGTACTATAAAAAAATAATAAAAACAACTACCATTTCTAGTTTTAAGTGTGATAATAATGTAGTAAATATTAATTATGAAATACTAAAAAATAAAAACATCAACGTGTCGTGTTTGTGTTTAAAAGATATCCATCTTATTTTTTCCCAAATTATATTTGAAATTATAATTATTTGATTATTAAATTACAAATTATAACAACTATTATGTCTTTTGATATTTTTGGGGACTATTGTAAATAAGGTATAATAAATTAATATAATTAGTTGTTTAGTACTTAACAAAGTTGGAAACTTTCAAAAAGGCTAAAAAAGTCTTCGACATATCAACAATAACAGAAGTCGCCGAATAGCTATAAGAAGATTAATCACGTGTCTTTTATCAGTTATTTTGATATTTCAAAATCCATTCAACAAAACCAATAATTGAACAAAAGAGTAAACTAAAATGTAAAGCCTTTTTTTATTTATAATATATTTGTAAATTATTTTTAAATAATATAAAAATCCTCATCATTTATAACAAAATATGAAGTTTGTTTTACTTCTTTGAAACATTTTAAACAACTTTTAATCAATTTATATAACTTTAATAAAAAATAGTTAGTATAAATGGTATCGACAACATTCCAAAAGTCTTTCATTTTGGCAATAAAATAAAAGGTTAATACATTACCGTGCAATATTCTTTACTCAACTTTAAATCATAATAAACTGATTTCAACAATTTTCGGCTTTTCTAAATTACAAATACAGTCTTGAGTGGTGTAAAAATTGTTAATACTATTGTATTTCAACTAAAAAAAAGATAAACGAATTCCAAAAAAGTTCCAAAAATGGATAATGACGTAATCATTTCTATAAATATATTTTCATGGTATTATTTATTCATGTACAAAGGTTCACCATTTATCAAAATATAGTAAAAAACATTGAAAATAAGGAAATTAATAAATTACAGAATAAAGGGTGATATCCACTGGACAAAAGACCCCTAAACGATTTTTGGATTCTTCAGATAACATTCTCGTACTTCTTGATTCAAATCTTTTGAGGGTTCCAAAGTACCTGTTTTTCACATCATTAGCACTCCGCCCTTGAAGACACTTACTGATAAACGTCCATTTATTACCAACTTCTTTTCTGGTTTTCATTATAGTTTGATCTTCTTCAATTGTCCATGGTCTCTTACTTTGATTCTTAAACATCAAAGAGTTAAAGTACCGTTCTCGACACTGTTTACGATTGCGTCCTTTTATGTTCTTTTCTACTTTCTTCCAGTCTTTAATACCATACTCTTGTATTGCTTGTAAGAGTGCATCATCTTCACTCGAAGACCATGGCCCAAATTTTATTTGCTGTGGGGCTTTTAGAACAATTTCCATCTTTTGATTTTGAATGAATCAGTTCCATTATATAAGGTCAAAATAGATTCTTTTGATATCAAATCTTGATTCGCCTTCTATTTTGTTGTCTTGTGTTATTTTTAATAAATAGATTAATAGCTTTGTTTACTATTTCAGTTTAATTAATTAATTTCTGTTTCTTCAAAGAGTAATTAATCGTTTAAAAACCAAATCAGTATGGTTCAGTAATTTGTTGGATAAATCTTGTTGACTTTTTAAAGTGTGAAATTACCGGCTTGTAACAATAACAGTACAACGATAAATCTGGAAGTTTGGAGAGTTTGGTTAATAATTCTGCTTGAAAGATATTGAAAGCCGCCTAAAATGACGTTTAGAAGACACCTGGTGTTATTTTTCGTTAAAAAAATTAGGAATATTTGTTAACTTAAATATAAAAATAACCAAAATATGAAAAAAAAAAAAACAAGACATAAATAGAGTAATATCTAAAACAAAAACCTTTTTAAAACATTTTCAATAACAATTGTTTTGACAATAAGACATAGCAAGTGTTGTATAATAAAAAACTATAATTAAACCATTTATTATTTGACAAACTTTTTCGTTTTTAAATGATTATTTAAAAGTAAATTTGATTAAAAAACAAAAAAACTATTATTCAAAGACAATTTAATTGATATTCTTAAAAGAAACAATTAAACTTCTCAAATAATTAATAAAATGTTTTGATTAATTATAAATACATAATAATAATATATACCTGTTATTTGTATGGTTTCATATTAATTTATTAGTAGTTACGACTTTTTAAATTACCAAGTTTAATAGTTTTTTTTAATTATTTAAAATGATAATAAAATATTAAGAAATCCCATAATAATAAAAATTAAAAATAATATACAAAATTGATACATCACATAATTTATATTACTTCTTTATGTTTCCCATACTTAGATATACTATGCCCTGGGTTTAAACAAGAAGCAGAAAGTGGAATATTAGCAGGACAAAAAGTTAGCTTGAGTCGAATCACAGTTCCGGATATTTTTTTCTTTTTGATTCAAATAATAATCTATTACTATTTGACTATTAATACTAATTCCACTACTACTAATAAATATTAATATTCTAATAGATTAATATATGAATTTAATAATAGAATAAATAAGTGGGGTATATAAAATTATAATAGAATTATCACTAAATTATAATTAATATGTAACTAATAATTAATAATAAAATAAAGTGTTATAATTGTACTACCAAAACACACATATTGTTCCGTTCAAAACGAATAATACTCTATTTTAGAGAACAATCTCAGTAAATTGATGGTATACCAAACAATATGAAAAAGCATCGTTTATAACAAAAACAGAAGAAGTCCTAGTGCTGCAGTAATCATAGTGAAGAAAAAGAGATACAAAGAGACATTCCCAACGAAGCGTGTGAGCAGTTCTTTTGATTTTCTGGAGAGAACAAAAGCGGACACCCAAGTGAAGAATGTGACAAAGCCGACCATGAAGAGGACAAAAACAAATGTAGAGATTTGTTTTTCCTCTTCTTCCGCATCAGAGACTTTCTTCGGCCGTCTTGCGCATGGAAAATTTTGTTGATCGAAATATACAGGTTGGTTAATAATATCGACTTGATTGCCAAAGTTATATTGTGTGGGCTGATTTTGAACCGCACCGACTATAATTGGCTGTCCTAGAGATGATTGAGGCAACTGAAAGTAGTAATAGTTCGGTTGATATGGGACCTTAGGTGAATATTCCATTGCACTTTAAAAAGAGTTTTTTTTGGGTTTCAAATACCCACTTTTTTTCAATCCATGTCTAATACTTTTTTTCTATTTGATATTTCTATATATGATATACTATTGTTTATAGTTGTTTTAACTATATATGCAATACTTTGAGGCAAAGGAAGAAATAGAAGACCTTTGGAGCGTTTTGGTATTGACAAATTTGATGCACCGGTTTTGGTATGAAAAAAAGAGATAAGAATGAAGAAAAGTAAAGATGATTTCTGCTAGATTTGCAAAAAGGGAATTTTATGGTAAATAAATGCGCTTGTTGCTGAACAATGAAAAAAGCTACAAATATAGAATCGAAAAATCAAGAAAGGTCATTTGTAGTAAATAAATGTGTAAATACCATTTGGCTTTTATTTGCAATGTTAAATATAAAACACCGCAGTTATTATTTCTTCACAAATCAGATTCTTTTTACCATAAATTATAATTATATTTACTATTTGTTGTAATACTCTTTTTGTGAAATTATTAGTGAATTGAAGAACTTAATAATAATAAGTATGACCGCAATTTACGGATGGGAAAACTAGGTGCCGATCTTCCATTTCTTCTTTTTATTTTACTTTAATTATCAATAAAATTTCGGGATATAAGGAAACATTTCTGTACATCAAAATTTTATGTTTTTGTGACATTTTCCGTCTGTCTGTGTTGTTGTTGAGAGCCTATAATTTGTTTTATTATAATTTTATTTATTATAAATTACTATAAATTAATTAAATTAATATTAATAAAAAGTTAGTTCTTTAATATGGCATATACACATTGAAAATTCTTTACAAAAAACTTACAGTAATTTGATCTGAACTGAAAGGTAGAATGACTAAAATTTCTTATTTTTTAAAACAAAGCTGCCTTACAAACAACTCGAGCTTTTCGACTTTTTTCCTCAACTCTTTTCTACAAATTAATTCCTTTTTTCATTCGAGTAAAAACACTTTACAGAACAAACACCTCACTATTGAGTTCAAGTAGTCCTCCAACCGATTGCTCTATTTGATCAAATCTACTCAAAAGTTGATCAACGGAATCAGAAAAGTCCAACACCGACAGTAACACATCATTTGTACTTTGTTTGTGGATCACAGTCGATTTTTCAGTTGAATCTGCACACTACATTTCAGCACATCACCACAACAGTCAAAGCTTAATACCGCTCTAAAAATGGTATCACAATTAAACTATACTTAATCTATAAATTATAATACAATAAAATCAAACTGTCTCAAGAAGGCCCTCCAATTTTGCGATGTAGTCGTCGAGTGCGCTTGCACAACACACGGTTTGTTGATGCAGTGTATGAAGATATGCTGTTGGATCCAATGGTTCAACGACTGCTGTTGTCTTTGATTCTTCTGTTGGGACTAATGGGATTGGACTAACCCACTCAATTTCCTTTGCTTTTTCCTCTGTCATGGTCTTTCAAGTTTTTAAAGTTCGTTTTCCCTCAGGAAGTTTAAACTAGTAATAAATAATAAAACAATTATATATTTATTATCCGCAACACTTCTTCTTATATACCAGATTTTATAATAAAATAATCTATCAAATTTATACTCTTCAAAAAGGAAAACTTATGTATTAAGTATAGTATTTTAAACTATTATATAAACCATACAATCATTTTGCTACCCAGAGATGTCTCTTCTTATCAAGTCGACACAAGTTCTTCAACAAAGACTTGAAAACACGTGTCTCATTGATCCCAGAAATGTCATTAGAAAACTCTTTGAGAACATCATCGCTCGAAACTTTGCCACCTTTCTTTTCAATGAAATTGGCTAGACGCTCTGCCAAAGTTAGTCCTTCAACGTTCTCCCCTTTTTCTTGCTTTGGTACTTGAGGGGACGACACCACAGACTCTTTAGAAACAACAGCGGAAGAACTTTTTCTTCTCCCCATGATCTGATTCCGTTTGACCAGTTTTAACTTGTAAATAGCCTCTTCCGCTATTTTAGCAGTCTCTTCGTCTGTCAACCTTTTCTCTTCATCCGACAGCGTGTTTGCCTTCTCCATCAAAATTTCGTCGATCACCTTTTCATCGCCTTCAACGACTTTTCCCATCAAATCAATTTTGTTCTTCTTCTCGTCTTTCTCGTCGTCTTTGTCACTCTGGTCGTCACTGTCTACTTGTTTCTTCGATTCTTTTTTTGGCACTGTATCTGTCAACTGGAACAATTCCTTCACAATTTGCTTCTTAAATTGCTTTCTGAGTACTTCATTTTGGTCGCTGAGTATCTTGTTTGATATAATTTCCTTTGATATCTGTCTATTGTATATCCTCTCTTCTATCGTCCCAGAACATATCAATTTGTATATCGAAACGTTCTTAATCTGCCCTATACGCAACGTTCGTTCTTTGGCCTGAGAGTCCACAGTTGGATTCCAGTCGGGGTCAAACAAGACCACCCGATCAGCTCCCGTCAAATTAATACCCAACCCACCAACACGTGTTGTTAATATGAAACAATTGATAGTGTCGTCATGATTAAACGCATCGATCAATGAACTCCGCTTCCCAGCCGCAACATCGCCATCCATTCGTAAGAATATATACTTGTTGTACTCTAACACCTTCTGGAGAATATTCAACATCTGCTTGGTCTGACAAAAGATTAGTGCCTTGTGCTTCTCCTTCCTCCAATTGTCTAAGAGACTTAATAAGACTTTGACCTTTGCACTCTCCATGACATTCTCGTGGTCCATCTCAACGTTCTTATTCAACAGAAGTGGGTGGTTACACACTTTGCGCAAGTAATCGATCGCTACAAGCAAATTGGTATCGCCGTTGATCACTTTTGTAACTGAAAAGGAGTTGATGTACTCTAAGTATAACTCTCGTTGTTTCAGGGAAAGCTTGACAAAGACCACATTCTCCGTTTTGTTGGGTAAAGTCGGTAACACATCTTTTTTGAGTCTTCGCAATAAAAATGGCGCAATCGTGTCTTTCAGCGCTTTCGCGCATTTTAAAGCGGCAGTGAATTGAAAGTAGCTCGCAGAAGTATAAGACCCAAATTTGATTGGGTCGATGAATTGTTGTTTGAAGACGGGAAGTGTCCCCAACTTGCCGGGGTACACAAAGTCGAACAGCGACCAGAGCTCGGCCAAATTGTTTTGAATAGGGGACCCCGACAGAATCAATCTGTTTTCGCTTCTCAATGATTTTATCGCAATCGAAATGCCACTTTTAGGGTTCTTAATTTTATGTCCTTCATCAAGTATAGTGTACAAATATGTCACCCGATTCAAATCATTCAATTTGTTTCTCACAAAGTCGTATGTTGTGACAAATATACAATTGGACGCCTGTGTGAGTAACTCAAGATTGTCTTGCCCACTTGATGAAAGTGCTCGATGGAGCACTATAACCCTAAAAAAGGGGACAAATCGATGGGCTTCAGAAACCCAATGTGATATTAAAGTTAGTGGACATATGATTAAAATGTTACCGACGCGCATCTCTCCACGAGTCGTAAGAACATCACTTTTTGATTGTGTACATTTGGCATATAACGTCGAGTGAAGTCCTTCTAAGAAGGAAAGGACCATCAGAGTCTTTCCTAAACCCATTTCATCACCAACTATCCCTCCTCCTCCTTGTTTATATAACTCGTACATCCACTTCACACCAACTCGCTGATGTTCATAGAGTTCTTCATATAACTTTTGTCGTATTAAAAATCCGGAACGAAACGTCTTTAACTCGCCTTCGGGCTTCACATTGTTTTCAGCGTCTAAATGTGAACTCCCTTTTTGGCTCAAACGTTCATGGAAATACTCTAAAAAGACATCATCACTCCACTCGCGGACATCTTCTTTATTCTCCACAAATACAGCGTCCGTCCCTTTCGCATCTTCGTCTTGTCCTAATGGATTCAGTTTTCCTTTTTTAATCAATTCTTCTCGCGATGAATCGTCATCATCAACTAAACTTATTCCACTCGCTTTTGTATCTGGTGCTGTAATCTCTTGGACATCATTTGACTCTTCACTGTGAAACTCCTCGTCATCAAACTTCCTTTTCATTGAATTATTGAGTTTTCCTTCTGTTATATTTTATATAGGATTATTATTATTATTATTATTATATATGTTACTAATACTAATAATAAGTTTTATAGTTAAATAAATTATAAACAATTATTAATTTTAACTCTAGTATTTTAACTGTAATACTTAATAACAAAAAAATAGATTGAAATTTGTTATTAGAACTAATCCATTGTGATTGGTTATTGAGTCAAACTTCAAATTTTGAAGACCTCAAAAACACAACAGAAAATGAAAATGCGCACAAAATCGGGAAATACATTGCTTCTTTTAAAAATAAAGATGAACAAACCTCAAATTAAGAATTGGAACTCATAATACAAATGACAACGACAGCAGAGTCGGACAAATTTCTGAGAGAGATAACATTACTCGGACAAGGAAAAAACATTCCAGTGAATGTATTGTATTATCCATATAAGGAAGGAGAGATGTACCCATATACACCAACACTAACAAATCTGCCTTTCAGTCGTGTAAGTAAAAGAAAGGAATTTCCTCTTCATTCGTGTAAATATGATAAAGACACGGCAGAGAAAATCAGTAGAGAGGCTAAAGTCTCTGTGAGTAAAGTGTATAACCACAACGAGATGATATCAAACACAAATGAAACGCAAATAATCGAGTCGTTGAAACGAAAGAAGTGCTTTGGCCAACAACAGTGGGACGAGAACAACCCTCTTGCGATACTTCCAACAACAACAAATTTCTCAACGGAAATAATCGCTTTGCTTTTAAAGTATACAAAGGAGCGTACAGACGACATTGCACTCCTCGCGATATCCTCTTGTGTTGTCAATTGCAAACAAAAAAGTGATTTACTGCTCTTTACAAATGAACTCACCCCACAAACGGCTTATGCAATTTTTGTCGCATTGTGGTGCAAAGACACGCGAAGTTCAATGGCAGAGATTTGTCGCGAAAAGAAGCTTGGAATCAAACTTTTAGAAATTTCGCTTTCGTTGAATGGTAAGAAAGAAAGTGTTGAGGCCAACCTTTTCTTCCAAGTCTTATTGGCGGTTGTATTTTATGTTGGGATGTGTGGTATTGACCACGACGTCGCAGATAATTTCACACAAATTGTTATCGCAAATTTGGGGGACATGTCGCCAGAAAGAGCAACTCTGGCGATTTGTGTAGTAAAAATTTTTATCGCAACATTTCAAGATTTGTTACAAATTTTGTCTGCGATGAAATTTGACCAAATGATGGAAATTGTTGATACCAATTTGTCGACTCTGTGTCTCTTCAAGTTAGTCACAAAGTTTTTACCGACAGCTAATATCAACCCCAACTCCTATTCTCTTGCCAATAAAATACTTAGCGGGTACCTCATTAAAGCTTCCGAACCAATCAACTCAACTCGTATTGTGAATCAACTAATACAAACAGTAATATCGACGGGAATGTATCCATTGGGCTACGAATCATCCGACCTCTATGCTACAGTCTATTTACTGTATTGCTGCATCATCAACAACCACGGAGAGTTTGACGAGAACGACAAATACTGCGAAGTTCTTCTGAACTTCTTACTTCCGAAAGTCGAGAACGAGTATGACGCACCAAAGAATGGACTCTATGGAACTATGTGTCCCAAAAGCCGAGAAAAGGTGATGAAAATGTTTATCATGTTATTACAAAAAGCAACAAATTTCAAAGAAAAAATGGTCTTTGACCGACTTCGTGATATCCAGAAATGTAAAGTCTCTTACGGGCTCTCATCTAAACGGAAGTTTGTGAGTTACATGAGTCAACTAGAGGCGACTGTCCTTAACGCGTTATTTGAAGTTGAAAAGATCCAACAAATTGTGTTAAATGGGGACTCGGATTTGTCGTACGATGCAGACATAGCGACTTTCATATACGGCTTTAACCAAGTCGTCAAATTGAAGAACATCACAACGACGTATTCTATGAATGACTGTCTGCAGTTATATCTTCAAAAGATTTCCAGTGACGAAATTGGATGCGTTGAAATTCCTCTTAACCAAATAGAGGAGCAAACTGAATTGAACAAGCCGATTGAAATTATTCAAATTGAAAAACAAAGCTATTTGGAGACTTTTGAGCAACGTCCAATTCGGTTGACAATTGGAAAACACGTTTTGGTCTCTTCAGTCTTTTATAGAGGGCGTGAAGAGAATGAAGACTATGTCATTCTGCGACGTTTAAAAGACGGGAATTACAATGTTAAAATGCGCAATGGGAATTGTGTTGTATCTTATGGCACCATTAGTCTTTATTTACTTAACATCACACACGCGGAAACCTCAGACGTTTTAAGACCAAAATTTCTTATTTACGAAAAGACAGTCGCATCAGAGAATTTCCAAGAAGTCACGAAAATAGTGACAAACTCCTTTGACCAAGCTTATAAGGCGTTTGGGTATAGTGATTGGTACAACAATGATTACAACACAATCGTCTTCCCTATCTTCCTCCAACTATGTACGTGGACTTTAACTCCAAAACTCTCGTGGAATAACTCGGAGAAAGCAGTGTTGTCGATAAAAAAACTCCAAACTGTTAATATTCGAGGTCTTGTGATCAACTCGATGTTGTTCTTCCACGACTGGAAGAACCTACAAAAACCATTTAAAAGTGTTGCACTCAAAGAGGCGGTATACACCTATTTGCAAATATTTGGGAAAGCGTCACTACTTTCAACAGCGTGTATTGCGTTCAATGAGATGGACCACATCAAGTATTATGTCTACTCAAACAACAACTGTCTCTTCACCTCTCTCATCATGAGACTGATGGTTTCTCTTGGAAGTGAGCCATCACAACTCGAGACGTTGGCATTCTGTAAATTTCTAACAGCCATTCAGTGTGTAAGTGAGAAGGAAGTGGAGAATTCGTATGACTCTCAATTTAATATCGTCATCTGTAAATTGATGGAGGCGACAGAACAATTCCACACATTCTTCTTTAAGACCAAATTTGTTCATTTCATGCTCGGGGTGTTGCCCGATAAAGGAGAAGATATTTACAGAGGAGCTGTGAATGTCACTGCAATAGTCCGATTGTTGATACGCGTGAGTTACACCGTGCAAAAAGAAGACACTGCTGTGACACAAGTCGACGATTTGGAGAAGCTCAAAGCAATTGTTTTCGACGAAGAAATTAAACTTCTTTTAATAAGAAAGATGGGATTTATAATTAAGATGAGTGCAGATATGAGTCTTCTGGTGGGATTACTTCATAAGTTGTGTTTCAATGATGAAAGTGTCTCAGCTAAAATATGTAATTTGATATTAGAACACTTGGATTTTAATGAGGACGATGGCTGGATTTACGCTTTAAAGGGGATTGCAGAAATTAAGGACCAATTTTCGGACAAACGGATGATGACCATTTGTAATAGCAACAAAATGGCGAAATCAAAACTGGGATATGGAAAGCTGTCTGAAACTACTATTGAGTCGTTTGTCGATATCTTCAAAATGGCAAACGGTCCGGCAAGAAAGGTCGAGAACTTCTCGAAACTTCTTACTACGGTCGAGTCGTATTTGGAAAAGACTTTGAAGGAAGACAATAAGACGAAGGCGTGGCTTGGAAATTTCAATGCAGCGGAACTGGCACAAACGCTTGCGAGTGGGAAAGTCCCTTTTTATGTCAACAAAAAGGTATTAGGGTTGTATGTAGACCTCCAACATATTATTCAACAAGAAATAGATGAAGGGAACACATTTTTCACATTGAAGGATTATGGATTCGATATGGTTTGTCTTTTTAAAACACATTTAACGATTTAAGTTTAACTCCGTAGATGCACCTTGTTTATTTGAAAGCAATTACAAATCAATGCAGAAGAGGAAGGAATGCGCAAGTACCGAAAAAAGAGGTCGAGGAAAACACTCTTCCATTTCAATCAAGTCTTTCTGATACACCACTTTCTAATATCGAGGATATATTGTCGGATAGCTCAGATGTAACTCCTTGATTTTAAATGCAATATTTTTAGGTTTTATCGCATAAATTTGATATAATTTGATAAAATGTTGCGATACAAGAACTATTTTTAAGTTATTAAACAATCTATAACTAATATATATTATTTTTTTTGATTTTTTCTTGATTTAAAGTTTGTGTTTAATTGTTTTTACTAAAAACAAATTAAATTTTAAACAAAATAACAATTAACTATTATTTATTATGTTATTATTTACAATAAAGTAATATTATTTAAAAATTTAATTTAAAAAAAAATTGTTTGATGAATATTTTGTGATGATAAATTTTGTTGTTTTATTTAAATCTAAAAAAATGAAATACATTTTTATTATATGGTATATCGATTAGTAATTGATTATTTAAACCTATTTTTTGATTTGCCATAAAATAATATAAGTAAAATAAAATGGGGTTATTTGTTTAAAAAACTTGTTTTTCTTAAGAAATATATATAGATGATAACAATTTTTGTATCTAAAAAAGAACATTGATTGTTTATATTCTCAATCCATTTGAGTACTTATTTTGATATTCAGATATTTGAGATGAAATGTATCTTATTTCAAAGTATTTAAAATAATACATAGTTATTACCAAAATTGTTTTTTATAAGTAATTTATTTAAGGTATTACTATTTCAACATGTAAAAAAGACTTCGCATCTTTTATACATAAATTAAACCATTTTATTGGCGTTTTTCGATACAAATTATTGATAATATAATTCTCAGGCGCGAAGCCTAACGTATAAGTATATATCTAATAAGTCATTTGTTTGATCATTATGCACAATGTGAGCAATTTATTATGTATATTATTTTAATTACCTTTGATAAGAAATAATAATAATAGTCATAAATAAGTATGTTATAATTACTCGAAACGTGTTGATTGTATAAAAATTTAAATAACCCTGTTTAAAATATGTGATAATAAATAAAAGAGATTACACACAATAATAACGTTTATTTTGATAACTTCTTAATTAAAATTATACTTTACATACTTCTCTTAAATTATAGTTGTTGTATTACAAATTAAATAAAGTTATATTTCTTTATTATAGTTATTATATATTGTAAAGTATATTTGAAATGGTTTTATTCATTTCTTTGAAGTATCATACAGACTTTTCTTATATTAAAAAATTAATACTGATATCATTATATTTTAATACATATTTTTTCGGTATAAAAATAACAAAAACAAAAACATTTTTTTATATTTTTTTCAGAAATTGAAATAAAATAAAATTTTGATATAAATTTCGAAATAATTATTATTAGAAGGAGTGTACTGTTATTTAATATGTAAATCACCACCAATTTATACAGAAGTCATTGAAAATAAAACAATTCACTTAAAAAAGAAGCAATAGAAAGATAAAGATGCGACAAAAGCGTTTAAAATAAATTTAAACCAATATTTTAGTAATTCTTACATCTAACAATGAGGAATAAAATTTCAGAAAGAAAGACTTGTTTGGAGTATTTGATCAAAAACATTTAAATAATCAAAACTAAAATTCATTGGGTAAACTATGGTACAATAATTCTAATGAAAATCATTGATATGTAAAAGTTATTCGTAAACACACAATAAATAATTGGTGGTGTATTTTTTTCATTTTGTAACACTTGATATTGAAATTAACATGTTATTAACATGACAAGCATTTTAAATTGAATATAAAGCAATTATTACTGAAATTTAATTAATGAATTTGGAATTATTTTTAATATTTTTGTCATTTTGTTTTTAAATTTTTATGTTTTATTTTTTTCTTTGCGATGATCAAAATAATCGTTCTAAAATTGTAATATTATAACCCCAGTTGTTCTGACAATTAACCATGTTTATCATAAAAATGGTCAAAGAAAAATGATTGAGTTGTAGTTAATAATAACTTTTCTTGTAGATTTTTATTGATGAAAAGTGCCTTCCTTTTTTGATTGAAACCTTCTATAGTAAAAACACCCTTTTTAGTCGAAGTTTTCAAAATGACAAAAGATTGGATTTGGCTTATACTTTACTTCTATTTTTTGATCTAAAATCAAAATGTTACAACAGTTTTCTATATATATAGACAAAAGGAATGTTCTAAATACCTTCTATCTTTGGCAGTAAGTGAAAAATATCATTTGTTGTGAACTAAACTATTTTTTTATAATATCGTTAATAAAATTGGATTTAGATACATACTTTGACTTTAATTTTAATTCTTCACATCTTCATAAAACTCGAAACAATTTGTTTATTAGTATGAGGTGTTGGAATTCCATTTTCAATTATATTTTAAATTCCATCCCAATATATATAAGGTTTTTACTATTAATTATAGTATTATAATTATTGAGTAAAAACACAAAACAATAAAAAACATTTTTCAGAATATTCTAATAAAATGGCATTATTGTATTATTGTTTTATGATTTTACTTATTTTATATATAATAACAATAGCAATCCAATGTGTTTGGGTATAAAATCCTTTATATTTATCAAAAATTTGGAAGTTTGTTCATTTGAACAAGACTGAAATACATTAATATAACCAACTCAAAATTATTATTGCTAATAATTTACAAATTTGTCACTTGTAAAACATTTGAATAAATAACCGTTTATAGACAAAACAATCCGAAACAACTAAAATAAATTATAAATGTACTATTAATTTGCTTTACGTTTTTCACATTTTATTGTCACGGCATAATCACTCATATTTCCTTCTATAATTATGAACCTAAATTGCCACTCCGTTCGAGCCAAAACCATAACCAAACCAAAACCAAACTAAATAGGCTTCAAAATATGAAGTGTTGGTTTTCTATTGAAAACCCAAAGAATTAATTCGATAACAAAGCTCTTCTCAAGAACATACCTAATTATTCCCCAGATTTTGTTCAAAAACATTGCCCATTTTATTAAAGCCCAATATCCTTCTTTCTGTTTTGAGAATTTTTCATCAACCAGATTTAAACGTATGGATGATCTGATTATTATCGTTATGTCGGAACCTTCAGTCTTGTATCAATGTTCCCATGATCCAATCCTCGTTAGAGGTCTTTATGATAAGGAAATGTACATAGTCTATCCACCTTATTTCACAGAAACTTCATTTGAACCAAATTGTGGTTCAATACCTTACCAGTTCATGAAAGATAATTATAAGATGGATATACGGACAGTTCAAGCTTCTCAAGAGTGTATATGCATAGGTCTACTGAACGATTTTTGCTCGTTCACTTTCAAACAGCCAGCAAAGAAAAGTACAGTCTCTCCACAATTTGTGAGGCTGTCTTCACTCACTTTTGAAAATGGAGAGTGCCTCAACGTGGAGGAGTTTGTCAAAAAGAGATGTGAGAAAATACTGAAGGATGATATAAAAGATGGAATCCAAGCCAAAACTGCTCAGAGGAGGTTTGAAACAAACAAGAAAACAGAAGTTATCCATTTATTAGTCGATATATTGAGGGAAAAGGGGTATTTCTTTGGAACTCGAATGACAGTCGGAAAAGTTGGGACGAAAAAGACGGAGTATGTGACTGATGTTTGGAAAAATGGGAAATATCTCTTTGGACAAAAAGAGGTTGATAGAAGAGGCACTTTGATATCTAGAACTCTTTCTGCAATTGGCATGGGATCCAAGGAATTCAGTGTACAGAGAAAAGAAGGTAAAATTGCAGAAATCATGGTTTAATGTCAAGAAAGGCTCTTCTTATGTTTTTTAGGTAAAAACAGTTCAATATTTATTAAATGTTATTGGCTATTTTTTGAAATCTTATTTTATTAGAATAAAAAAACAAACTGTTATTAAAATTTTTATTGTAATAAAAGTTGTTTTTTATATAAAAACGAATAAAACATTTTTTTTACTAATCAAGTAAGATTTTGTATTTATTTATTTGTAAATATTATTTTTTTTGAAACAATTTCACTATGATATTTTTTAAATAAACAAATAGTTTAATAAAATCTTTCTATTATAAAAAATGGAATAATGGTTCAATTGTTGTTAAACTATTTCTGCATTTCATGGTATTGGCTCCACTCATTAACCTCACTATACTGATATTGTTTTAAACATAGTTAGACAAAAACAGAGTGTTATTCAAAAATGTTTTTTTCAAATTTTTATTAAGACATTACCTTTTTCAGGGTTTTTTGGAAATGTGGAAATAAATTTGATAGGGTTAGCAATAATTTGCATAGTTCAGATTAATAATTAATTTTGTCATAAAGTGAACTATCGAAACCCAAATAATATATTAATACTATTGATATATTTACTTAAAAAGTATAAATTCAATTCAAAACAATAAATAGTTAAATAACTATGTATATATTAAACAATATTTTAGTTTAAAATATAATTTTGTAGCTATATAAAACAAACTATCAAATATAGTTGAAATAAGGTACACTAAAGATGTAAAAAATATAAATAACTTGTTATTAATAGATTGGTATTATTTTTATTTATAATTATTATAATATATATTAAAATATATAATAAAATAATAGTTAAGTATAGTACATTAGATATTTAATATTGTAAAACATTTAAAAATATAATGTTACAAATTATTTAACCATTATAAAACCTAATAACAACCATTTATTAATAATTTATTGAGATTATTCATAAACCATTAAACCGATTAAACTATTAACAAATCATTGAAATTACAATAAAAGTATTATTAAAAAATGATTTCGACATATATTGAGATATTTAAATAACAAAAAAAACAATAAATATAATATATATAATCATAAACTAATGATTTATTTTACATGAATAAGCCGAATAACGTTATTTGTTTTGATTCAAAAATAAAAATAGAATTATATATCCATTTATCAATCGAATTATCATTATGATAACTTTTTAATTACTAACTAATTATTATTTAATTTCATATGTATTAAACTCAATTATTAACAATTGCAATTTTGAACAATTTCTAATGAAACTTATTTGAATTAATTACTATGAATTATTATATTATTATATTTACACAAAGAAAATCATTTTAAACCAAACCCACCTTAAGAAGAATTCAATTACCAACAATAATTTATGTTAGTCTTTTAAATTGAATATCAATGACAAACATAAATGATGGGTTTTTGAGAAATCGAATATAGTTAATAATAAACCAAATAAACCATTAAATAAATTATAAACTAATACAAGAAGTATATTATTAGTAATACACTTAATGACAATATAAACAGAATTAATAAACAAATTCAAAACAATTTAATAAAACCATGATAAATTACCATTTTTCATATTTTGAAGTAATTTATAACAAAATTCTGTTTAATAACACATACAAAAATTATAAATACAAATACCATCTTGAAAATAATAAATGTCAAACTACATACCAAGAACTTGTCTCGAACACAATTATAAAGAATTTGAATTAAATTGTTCATTTATACCAAACATAAGTGGCATTTCTAAAACAATTGTAAAACAAGTTCATTATTGCCTTATTTGTGATGAAGTTTATTCTTATATTGTAGTGAAAAATCACATTTTAACACATTTGCAAGAACGACCAGATAAAACAAAAATGAATGAATTAATAAAAGACAATTTTTCAATTTTGAATTGGTTAGCAATAGAAGCATTACAGAAATCAGGACTTGCTTCACATGTTGAATTGGTTGAAAAATATCGATATCTAATTCTTGAACAAAAACAGAGAATAAATATGTGTTGTAATTCTCAAATGATTGCACAGATGAACAAAATTATCAAAACAATAAGTGATGATTTCGTTTTTCTTCAATTGGAAAACCAAAGTAAATTATCTTTGGAAACTAATAAATTAAAATTAAACGAAATACACCACGTATTCCTAGACGTGTAAAAATGACATACGAAAAATCTAAAATTCAATCTTTTGAGAAAGAAGTGTCTCCTTTTTCACAAGAATGTGTTGATGTTCATATGGAAGAAGATATTTTTAGTAATGATGGCACAGAAGACGCTACAAATAAAAATCCACAAATCCAAATAGAACATACTGAAAGTGTTAATAATTCTGTAAAAGAAAAACACGAAAAAGAAAAAGAGGAGGATTTGGAATTCCTTCTCGATTCGCTATCTTTGAGTCAAGGATATATAGAAAGTAACATGTTTGTTGGTAACAGAATCAAAGAAAGAATACAAGATAAACTCGGGCAGTCAAGCGACAAATTTTCAAAATCAAGAGAAGCAGCATCTTTTAGAAGAAAAATGTTTGAAACGTTATTCATGTTAAAATTTTCGTGTTTACATTTAACTTCTATCCAAATTGACGCAATTCTCGATATCATTGAAATCGTTCTCGTTTCTTGTAATGTGGAAAAGAATATGGTAGACATAAATATGTGTTCAAAAACTATAATAAGAAACATGCCCATAATGTCCACAATTGTTGAAAAAAGATTACAGGAGTTTGGAAGAAAAAAATATAACTATACAGCTGTTGTTGATGGTCAAACGAGTAGATCAATATCTCATCTCTCTGTTTGTGGTCACTTTTATCTTGGTGATTTCAAGACAGTAGAAATTGAAATTCAAGTACGTAACCATTTTGAAAAAAAGGTGGAAACGAAATGAGTCGTTGGCTTGAACAGACACTTAGTGATAATGGAATTGACCCCAAATTGTGTGTTGGAATTACGAAAGATAGATGTTCTGCCAACTCTGAAATGAAGGGGCTGTCTGGTAGTTTTATGAGGAGAGTCGAAGGGTTATCTCCCCTTAATTTTATATCTCATACGTGTTACAATCACACATTATCAATTTGTAGTCAAAGTATGTCACTTTTTTGAGTTGAGAGATAAAATTAACAATACTTCAGACACGTTTTTTGAGAATCTTCCTTTTGTAAGGGAATTAACAAGTATAGAATTTGATGTTCTTCGTGTTGTATGTTCAGATCATATTACCCGGTTTTTACAAGCTTCAAGTCTTCGTTTTACGAACCTTCTTATTTATTCATCTAAAAGTGATGTTTCAACAAATGGAGTAAAAAATACATTAGTAATTTATACAGATTTTGAAGAAATTATGGCAAATGTGCGTAAAGCTAAAACAAGCACAAAAAAGATGGAATCTGAGAGGATGGAAGAACAGCTTCTTCTAAATATAAAAAACGAAGCTACTACTAAATTGGACCTTGATATGAAACTGTTTATGCTACCAGAAAATCCAAGTGATGTTAACCCAGAAGATTATCCTCGTGAACTCAAATTCGAGATCGATAAGTTCGAAGAATTGTTGTGCACAAATTCCGGTAGAATTAAATTGCTTCGTTTAACCCAGTCATCTCATTTATTTAAACTTCCTAAAATTAAAATGAACAAATTTTTGAAAAACCAAGTTACCAATATAACTTCACATGGTCATTTTTGTGATATTAATTATCACCACGATAACACCGAAGATATCATTGAAACAGCTGAAACTACTTTTGCGAGTGAAAATATATCAATTCCAAACGATGTTTTGTATTTAAAACATTTAAAAGATAGAGTGGAATTTCGAGAACGGAAAACTAAAGAAATGGTATTTTTTGAATCAAAATGTCCTTGTGATTATATTTCAACAGAAAACGTATTTCAAATATTTGATTTTTCCATTAAAGAAGATTATAAAAATATCATACAAAGCATCGAAAGAATTGTTATTATCGCACCAACTAGTTGTTGGTGTGAACATTCTTTTAAATATTGGGAAGATGCATATTCGGATAATATAAGTGAAAAGATGCAGAAGGCAAAAATGGATTCAAAAAGAATATGCAATGAAATCGAAAAAGGATATGGCCAACCTTCTATAAAGCTCTATAATAACTGATCGTTCGTTTTATTATTTTTTGTTTTTTATTTTATTTTGTAATATTTTTATTAGAATTAAAGAATTTTAATGTATTTATAGTTAATAATGTCAACTAAATAAAATTTCAATGGTTTTTATTGAATTATTTAATTTGAAAATAACCATTTTAATAAATATTTATGTAAAATATTAATATTACTTTAATAAAATTTTTAATTATTATTTATAAATAATAACTATTGAACAATAAAAACCTTATATATCTGGTTTTATGTATAATATTTTTATAATCGTTATTTAATAAAAACACCAAAAAATTTATAAAATGTCAAAATTTAATATATTGTAATATTATAATACATAGACATTTAATTAATATAATTAATTTATTTTTTATTAAATAATAATTGGGTTATTTGCATAACAGTATAAACATAATTCATACCGATACAAAAGGTTTAAAAAACTTATATTAATTAATTAAGTATTAAATAATAAAGAGACAGTTTTAGGATTATTTGTTGTTATATAAAATTTTGGGTTTTTAAATGAATAAAATCGGGAATATTAGTAATAATAGTAAGCAATTGTCCAAACTTCCTAAAAGTTAACAATTTAACATAGTAAAAGGACATAATCTTTGTTTAAATATTAATCAAGTCATTAATAATTTTTGTGAATACAACAGTATCTACAATTGAAAGACAAATTCTTTTTATTCAGATAGTAATACATCTTAACATAGAGTTTACCATAAAACGTTTATTATTTAGATGTTTGACAATTTAAAATCTTCGAATTTTGGAAAATTTTTTGTTTTTTAATTTTTTTTCTTGATCCCGAAATTTTGGCTG